TCCCGAAGGAAGCTCTAATAGCCATCTTACATTATATTGAGCTTAAAAGGCCTTGTCTTTCCTTTTAAGCCTAACTTTCCTCCCTGAAAGATGCCCTTGAAGAGTTGGCTCATAACGGTGAGCTGCAGGTCCGTGACAATCCCCATGTGTGCCTTTGCTCTTTGATCAGAGAGGGCTTCTGAAACCGTACAGATCATTAGGACCAAGTGGTTTCATTGTGTGTTCAGCACAAGATGACTTGTTTTCCCCACCCCCCAACAGCTGTATGTCATTTAACAGGATCAACGGAGAGCCTGTGCTTTGCGGCATCAGTGTTAAGCACTCTTTTTATTAGTTCTGAAAAAGCTACTGTATTTAATTTGGTATGGCTTACTCGTGTTTATGTTCCTAAAGATCCCCAGATGTGGACATGTAAAACTAAAACACACCATAGCGGCACAGAAAGCAGCTGCTCCGGCCACGTCTCTCGAGAGGTGAAGCCATATGCTGTGTGCCTCTCCCGAGGGCAGGAAAAAGTGGAACAGTCTTATTTTTACTATTGTGGCCTCCCTCCCTCCCTGGGGATCTCCTGCAGGGTTTTGAAAGCTATGTATGTAAAGCCACTTCTGAGGGGCTGGTCAGCAACCAGCCGGACCACAACATGCTGCCCAGGCCTTTGGAGATGGATAATTTTGTCCCTAGGTTCTGGGGTAATTCCTAGGTCCTAACATTGCTTGCATGATCTTTATTAATATTTGCAGAGAACAGACAAGATTATTTTTAAGGTCTTATCTCAAAGCCTCTTGCTTTAGAAAATGCATAATACTCTCCTCTGGAAGGATGAAGAGGTGAGTTACCTTGTCACGATTAATACCTGTGGTTTCAGGGAGTTGTATCAAATCTGAAACCCAGACTGCCATGGCATCCCCTCCGCATGCTGCGTTTGCTCCACTGTCTTCCAGGTTTGCGTGTTTAAAGCTTTGCATCTTGAGGTGAAGACATCCCAGCAGGCACTTTCAGGAGCATTGTGGTCAGTTTGACTCTGCCATTGTTTTCAGTAGGCATATCTACAGGTGCGCTTCAATAATGCGCATTAGCCTATTTTATAGAATCAAAGAAAACGATGTGGGAAGGGACTGCGGGAGGTCATATCTACTGCAACCTCCTGCTCAAAGCAGGACCAGCCCCAACTACATCATCCCAGACAAGGCTCTGTCTAGACGGGTCTTAATTTTTTTTATTATTACTTTTTTAATGCATATTAAAGTGTCACAAAAAACTCTGCTCTTTAGCTAATGCACATTAAAATAGGCTCATGTCCATTTTGCTAGTACCTCACAACGAAGGTACTAGATTTTAATGTGCATTACCTAGAGCACATTAACAAACCTGTAGGTGTGCCCAGTACAGAGCAAAGTTAAGCCAATGCTGCATTGCTTTGGGAAATCTCAACCCAGTGTCCCCCATCCTTTTAACCTCGTCTCTCCTGCCTGCTTGCCAGTGAAAGTGCTTTGATTCTCATTCCTAACAGAAGAGGAGGGATATGCTTATGCACAGTCTATAAAGTGTGTTTATACATGTGTTCCTTGTATGTTTTATATTTCCTTCTGCACTTTTATAGCAAGCGTCCCAGGCAGGAGGAAGAGAGTGTGACCGCTTCGTAGCATAAACATCCTGCATTGCAGCGGTTGGGTCAAGTTTTATTTAGTTATTTTTTATCAGATTCAGAATTGTATTTTTATCAGCTATCCAGTGTATTGGATTATTTTTCTTGTCTGTGTCACTGAGAAATGAGAGATTGAGTGATCAGGCTCTTTCTGCTGCTTTATTTTGTTCAGTCTGGATGAGAAATCTAAGGGCTTTTCCTAACAAGCTATAGATTTATTGTTGGCGTGAAATGCTCTTAACAGGCCTAGCGTGAACTTCCTGATGATGATGTTATAGCCCAGAAATCTGGGAGGATGCGCAAAGCTACTCTGCCAGCAAAACGCCAGTAAATTATTAAACCTCTGCGTTGGGGAGCACTAAGTACTTGCATTCGTTCTTTTTCTAATGTTACGGGGCACCAGGGTCCCTGGACTGGATGACTCCATTAATCTGAGTAGTTGAGATTGTAGCGGGCTGGATGTGCTGTAGCTCTGAAACCTTCTTCTAGCGCAGTACTAACTAATACGCTTGTTCTTGCACGGTGCCAACAGGTGTGTCTAGGGAGTCAGTATTGTCTTAAGTTGAGCTGGAAGGGAGTGTAGAGCAGCGGGCTGACTTGATAATTCACGTCTTCACGCCCAGCCCATCTGGTCCTTTGCTGCAGTTGCTGTTGCCCTTGTTGGAAGACAGTTGCTGGATTTTTGCATTCAAGAGCCAGTGAACGTGAAGTCTCACAGTGCGGTGGACCTGTAATAACACAGAAAGCTCCCCCAAGACCAAGGAGACTGGTTGGACTCTGGCTGTTTGCCGTGTTGACGTTGGGATGCCTCTAAGGCTGATCTGCAGGACTGTAATGATGCTCCCTGACTCCCTTCATCAGGGAGTTGTGTGTGGTTTGAGAGATGCCAGCTTCTTTACCCTTCTTTACTTGGTCCTTGCTAGAGGAACCTGGTCACTTTGCTGTCTGAAGGCTGCTTCTGCCATTCAGAGCTGCAGAGTTGGTGCTTGAGCTTTGCCAGCCAAGTGAACATGTGCCTACCTCTCCCTTCCCACTTCTCCTGGTTCCAAAAGAGGCAGAACAGTTTTGGGTAGAATATAGTAAGAAATGTTTGCTTCTTTTGCCTTCAGATGCAGACACTGTTCATAAAAATACTTGCTTCCATTTTCTTCACTGAACTGTTTAGTTATTGGAATAGTGACTCCTTTTCAGTATCTGAGTCCGAGAATGAACAAATGGTGTCGGTCATGGGTCAGAATACATGATGTAATTGGTGAAAGGGGATTTCTGCTATGTAAAGAGCTTTTGTCTTAACTGAATCCGTGTTTGGATGCGTTTCAGCATTTCCCATGCATGCCCCATTGCAGGGACAGATCAGCATAGGGAACTGCATTTATTGAACCATGCACTAGGGAAAACAGTTGCTTTTGCACATCTTCCCCACGGACCAGGGGCTGAGACTCGGAATATGCCACGCGGTGTTAGAGGCCTGCCCCCGCCGTGTCCAAGGGTTGCTTTCTGGAAGTGGTCCTACTGCCCACATCCACTACCTTGCACCTGAGCACGAGGGCTGTATGAATGCAAGCAGCACCTCACAGCACTGCCTGAGAGCAGTTAGGTCAGGGTACATTATTTGCCCAGTATCCCCGTTGCAGTTGCTAGCAGAAAGCACACATTTCTGCTGCGATCCAGTCAGGAAACCAGCATTGTACAGATGGGAGAGCAGAGCTGTGGCGATGCCAGGAGACCTGTCCAAAGCTACGCAGCGGAGCCAGGAGGGAAGCCCGGGAGCCCAGAACTCCCAGCCCGCCGCTCCAGCTGCAGTCCTGCAGCGTCTCGAGCAGTGCATCCAAGGTTTTTCGGTGTAACAAGTTGGATGCAGAGATGAGCTTGGCTAATATTTGCAGCAAAGGGAGCAGGTGGTGTGTGTGTGTGTGTAAAATGAAATAAAACAAAACAAGCAGCTTGCAGGCCAGGGTCTGTTTTCAGTTAGTGTGCAAGCAAGCTTCAGGGGTTGTTACAGGGAAAGGAGGTCCTCGTTCCTTTTATTGATCATGTTTTCTTTGTCTCTTTTGGTGGTAATTAAAATGACATGGGCATTAGGAGCTAGATTTCCTCTTCCTGCAAATGGTTTCCTGTTGGGGAAAGCAGGCTTGGGAATCAGTAGCTACAAGTGAAATGATTTTAGGACATTTGAAAGGACGGAAGTGGGGGGAGATATTTATTTTGCGTGCATGTCTGCAGGTTGGGTTGCAGCACGGGGTGGCGTTCAGAGCCGATTGTGCTTTCAGATCCTGCTCTCCCACTTGAGGTCACATTTCTTGTCTCTGCTGAAACCAGCTGTTCTTCCTCTGTCCTGAGACGGAGGTCAGATTTGATCTCGTAGGATTCACTGTACATGGTGAGCAGTAAAATCAGATCGATTTGCAATCTGCCTTCCACACAAACGGCACCGTGAGGTACATCACGGTCCTCTTCCCTGTTCATCCCCACATCCTCCCCTTGGTCAGAGAAGTGCCGGAGCTCCCCTTCATTGTGAAGTCTCCATTAAAGGATTCATTCAGCTCAGAGGTGGGTTCTGGAGCCGCCAGGTCCTCTAGCAGCCTGTCTCTTCTATGCTGCCAGTGCAGACCCACCACCGGCTCCCAAACTGGTTGAAACGGGCAGATATTTACTACCTTCGATTTCAGATGGGCAGGGAGGAGATGTGGGAGGAGAGAGGTTCTCGGTTCTTTACAGCAGTTTAAAAAATGTTGGGGCTTGGCCCAGCTGCAAAGCTGGCTGGCACTTCATGTTTGATAAAGGTTTTGAGAAACGTTTGAGTCGAGATCCACAGGGATAAGAAGCTGCTTTGGGCATTGACTCTGCTGCAGCCATTCAGTAGCTTGGGAAATGCATTGTTTGGACCATGTCCACATCTGGGAGCACTGGCACTTTGTAAAAACCATGATCCTTCTGGCTTCCTCTTGCTATCAACCTTGGCAGGCATGGCAGGGGCCATCTGAGCCTTGGAGACTGCTCTCACCACCTCTCTGGGGTACAGAGAGGTCACTGGACACGCACATTGTGCTGCCTGCTGGCTTCCCCATCCCACAGCTAAGCAAAGCTAATCTCGGAGGTCACTGACCCAGCACCTCTCAACAGGAAAAGCATATGTAGTGCTGGAGACATCCATCCTTCCAGCAGATAGATAACTAAGTCTGAATCACATCCTGCTGTCTACTAGCAGGGATTTCCACATCTCGGAGACGAAATATTGGGGCACCAGGAGCATTTGTCTTATCCTGAAATGATTCATGTTGGTTTCCTTCTGCTTATTTCTGCCGAGCAACTGCCTTACTGTAAATTGAAGCACAAATTTGTATTTCTGTTTCAGGCCCAGCACAAAGACACTTTCATTGAAGAACGCTATGGGAAGTACAACATTAGTGACCCACTGATGGCTCTGCAGAGAGATTTTGAGATGCTGAAGGAGGGAAATCATGGTGAAAAGCAGCCTGTCTGCTCCAACCCCTTGTCTGTCCTGAAAGTAGTGATGAAGCACTGCAAAAACATGCAGGAAAGAATGCTGTCCCAGTTAGCTGCTGCAGAAAGCCGGCACAGAAAGGTAGGCCTCGGTCTCTGCCCTTCTTGCTTTCAGTAATGTGCCCAAGGAGTTACTTGACTTGGTGAAGGAGCTTGTTTTACAGCCTTAAAGCTTCAAATTCATCCATGTGATATAAGAAGTGAAGCTCATGTATTGTAAGTACAGAGGCAGAAGTGCGGCTTGCTGTTTACTTAGCAAGAGCACAGTGGAAAATGTAGAAGTGAATCTTTTGCCTAGGAGCCTGGGACTTGGGGAGTACTCCAGACTCTTTGGGGCCAGTGGTGACGAGTCCTTCGTACAATAATCAAGCATCATCTTAGTCATTGGGTTTGTAGATCTGCTTCCTCCTTCTGGGAGGTGGCTGCAGTTGCTCACTGCTCCTCTGATGGTTAGAAATGCTCTAATTTCCAACCTAAATGTATTCCCGGGCAGTTTACTTGCACAGCATTACCCTCTACCATCCTCAGTAAAGTCGCTGTGTGCTTCGCCTGAGTCTGTAAAGAAAGAGCTCGTGCAAGTAGTCCCATCCCGTTTGGGCATGAGGCATACAGGGTTGGGGCCTTTATGCCTGATTAATGTCAGAAGATCTAGTTTCCACTCCTGTGCGTTATACTGACTGTGAAGAAGTGGCCTGGATTTATTCTGTCATATGCAATGACAAAGAACACTGGCAGGAGCAGTTCTGGTTGCAGAAATGTTGCTGCACCCATGCAGCAAGCAGCTGGGCTTTCCAGCTTCAGATGAAGGGTGCAAGGGTGGCATTTATTTGGAAGTATTTTTTTTGCACTCAGTCTACAAAGCAGTTTGATCTGCAGCTCATGGAAGAATAAACAGGGACTGTGCCCTGTTCTTTTTTTTTTTAGCCACGTAGCTGCCAATAATTAGGCTTCTAAAATCTTATAGCCCCTTCCCACAAGGTTTGCTGCCTTCCTTGAGCGTGGTGTCTAGCAACTGAATGGGAGGATAGAGGATACTAAAGGAGCTCTTGGTGAGCGCCTACTAGAGGGACCCTGGGGTTCTGGTCATGACATCCTCTGGGGTGCCCCAGGGATGACTGCATGCTGATGTTTTTGCTGAGTTTCTAGAATCCCAGTTATTCCTGTAAGTCAGTGTTCAGATTTGAAGGAGCACCTCCACCCGGCCCTCAAGGCAGGCATTTCCATTTCAAGTGTTCATCTTGCTTCAATCCAATCTGACAACAGAAGTTTGTTTTAAAGAACTGTAGTTTGTTCTTCCACTTGATTGCATGTGCACTGCACTCTCCAAATCTCTCCCAGGACAGTAATGAAGAGAAATAGATATTGTGCAGATTGCCACTGAGCTTACAGCTCAAAACTAGACTGATGCGATTATGGCCAGGACCCTGCTTCCTGGACGTCTGCATTGTCTGAGGCATTGCCTCTGCTCCCGCTCTTTGCACCGATGGTCTTGCCAGGAAATCCCACATAGGGCAGTGGGCAGCCACTTACCAGTACAGTTGAAATTACGTGAAAGAGCACTTGCTTACAAACTCCAGCCTGGAGACAGGCCTGTAGGCTGGCTCTTGAAAGTTCGCTCTTAAAGGCTAAAATAAGGACATGCACGGGTTGCAGGTGATGACGCACGGTCGTCTCTCTGGCACAAATTTTGGCTGATCCTTTGCATTTGAGGGATGCTGTTTCACTTGTCTGCCCACATTTGGCCTTGGCCACTGCACAGCACTGGTCTCGGGCCATTCTGAGCAGCTGTTTCCATGAGTCTCTGCTGTCTGGTGACTGAAGCGTCTGTGCCTGTTTGGAAGGTGATCCTGGACCTGGAGGAGGAGCGGCAGCGGCACGCCCAAGACACGGCCGAAGGAGATGATGTCACCTACATGCTGGAGAAGGAGAGGGAGCGGCTCACTCAGCAGGTGTGCTTCCATGCTTGGTAACGAACCCTGCTCTGGAGAACTGCATGTCCTGGGAACACGTCCTTATCCATGGGCTGGGGAGCAGGCTCCTCCAACTGCGCTGGGGTGGTGGAGGAATGTGAAGGGTCTGATTCCAGGCATTATTCTTTTCTTGGCTCTTGGCAACGGGATGTAAACTGTGTCCAGAGCCTGCGCAGATTTATGCACAGCTGAAGTGTTCAGCAGCAATGAAATAGGTTCAGGAGCTTGCTTGAGATCTGAAAAGAGCTGTGGGAGGGGGCTGAGCCTTGCAGTCCCACCACTGCCGGCTCCGATGCTGTGCAGTACTAGTGCAGAATGCCGACCAGTGTGGGAAGGACCGGTATACTCCTGTTCAGAAAGCTGCAGCAAGCCAAATCCCTGCTGCTGCTTCATCTGGTATGCAGGAGCAATAGCATGTTAAGCTGTTAGACTTTAGACCTCCGTAACCATTGCTAAGTAGCATAAGGAGCAGACTGAGCAGGGAACAAATAAGGTGGAGTGTAAAGGAGTCTCCAGTTGAGATGACCGCCTCAATCCTTGCAGGGCTGGCCGCAGGTGTTGCATTACAAGGACACAACTGCACACTGCCCAGCATTCAGTATTTGACTGATCTGTTCATGCTTTGTGCCTGGCAAGATGTGATTTCAAGCTAGCTTTTTACCTTGCTGCACTTGGTGACCCCTAGATAGGACAGGACCCCCTTGTTTTTGGTGTTAATGTTGCCATCTGTTATTGAGGCACACAGGGATCAGAGCTCATAGGTGAGAAGATGCTTTCAGGTCTGGAGGGCCTCCCCACTGACTCTTTGGGATTGGAAACATTGCTTCTGTGGCATTTGCCAAACTTGGTGCTTCCTTCTGAGAACCTTCTGTCTTCTTTTCTAGTTGGAGTTTGAAAAATCCCAAGGGAAGAAGTTGGAGAAAGAGCAGAAGAAGCTGGCAAGCCAGTTGGAGGAGGAGAGGGCACGCCACAAGCAGCTGTCCTCCGTGCTGGTCCTGGAGTGCAAGAAAGCCACAGCCAAAGCAGCAGAAGAAGCACAGAAGGCAGGAGAGCTAAGCCTGAAACTGGAGAAGGAGAGGAGCAGAGTGAGCCGGCTGGAGGAAGAGCTGGCCTCCAAGAAGAAGTGGGGCTTGCAGATGGAGGCACAGGTGGAGAAGCAGCTCTCAGAGTTTGACATTGAGAGAGAGCAGCTGAAAGCTAAGCTGAACCGGGAGGAGAACCGGACCAGGGCCCTCAAGGAAGAAGTGGAAAACCTGAAGAAAGCCTTGAAGGAACTGGAGGCTTCTCACGGGGATGGCAGCCCTGCTGACTGCTCGCAGCCAAGCCCCTCCACAGTCACCAGAGCTGTTGAAACCGAGAGCAGGTCGGTGAGGTCTGTGTCTTGCCAGACAGGCGGTGCTGAAGCAGACAAAGTCTCGCCCATGGTGCTGCTGCCCAGCCCCGTCACACCTCCCTCGTCCTATGCAAAAGCAAACGGGCACTGCGATGCAGACATGCAAGCAGGTAGCGAGCTACTGCAGGCCAGTGGGAAGGAGATCCAGAAACCCACTGAGCCGGCCCCCGACAGCGCGGCTGAGAACGGAAGCTCCCCAGTGCGAACGGAGTCTCCGGTCCATGTGACTGCACAGCTCCCTTCGTCTGGGGCATCTGTGTCCCCCAGCAGCACCGCGGCCTCCTCCCTGACGCCCTCCCCATGCTCCTCTCCGGTTCTCTCTAAACGCCTGGTGGGAGCTTCAGCGAGCAGTCCCGGCTATCAGTCATCTTACCAGGTGGGAATCAACCAGCGTTTCCACGCCGCTCGCCATAAATTCCAGTCTCAAGCGGATCAGGACCATCAGTCCAGTGGGCTGCAGAGTCCTCCTTCAAGGGATTTGTCTCCGACCCTTGCAGATAACTCTGCTGCCAAGCAGTTAGCCCGCAATACTGTCACTCAGGTCCTTTCCCGATTCACCAGTCAGCAGGGGACTATAAAACCAGTCTCCCCCAATAGCTCGCCCTTTGGCACAGACTACCGAAATCTGGCAAATGCCGTGAGCCCCAAAAGTGAGTCTGGCCATTCCCCAAACCCGGGCAAGGTCTCCAGCCCGCTGAGCCCGTTGTCTCCTGGAATAAAGTCGCCAACCATCCCCAGAGCAGAAAGAGGGAACCCCCCACCTATTCCTCCAAAGAAGCCTGGCCTGGCTCAGTCCCCAGCCACTCCTGCCCCGCTAACCAAAACACTTTCCCAGGCGTCTTCTCTGGGCACCCCCATGGACTTAGCAGGCAGCTGCTCTAACAACGCTGTCGTAGCAAACGGTAAAGACATTGAGATACTGCTGCCAACTAGCAGCTAGTCTCCAGAAGGTGTTGAGGTGACATTCCAAGGCTCGGCATCCTGGAGCTGAGACGTGCTCTCCCCACTTCGTGTTATTTATTTGGATAGCAGCAGCCTCTGTCCATGTCATGCGTTTAATAGGGTCCCTTTTTTTTTTTTCTTTTTTCAAAGTAGGTAGGAAAGGATTTTTGCATTGCTGTATTAACAGGAACTAGAGCTAGAAGGTAGCCTCAAAAGGGGTCTCATGGCAGGAGTCAGGTCAGTTGAGGAGGCAAGAATCTCAACCCCGTGCCGGTCGCCGGCTAGCAACTGTCGTGGGACTGAAAGGCTCATTTTAAATTATGCAGAAATGACTTCACAGACTTTTACTCCAGATGAACATTGTATAAAAAGTGCCTGAACAAAGCCTACAGTATGAATGTGGTTCTCTGCAACAACAACAAAAAAAACACAGAACGGGAGGGAGGAGGGGCAGGAAGACCATCCAACTGCAGTGACGAGTTCCTCTGTGAATCCTGAATGTCTAAAACAACACTGAAACCAGTTGTTCGTAGAACAAGTCAGTAAGCCAAGTGCTACACGGTCACTCCTGAAAGGTGACTGCCGACTGGCCCAGAAGGCCAGGTTTGGCCCTGTGAGACCACCGCTCCTGTTGACCTCTCTGGAGGCGCACGGGAGCTACTTATGGGAGAATTTGGTCCTGATACAGGCCAGAGATCTTCCTTTCCTAGCTGGAGTTGTCCAAGTCCGGTGGGCGTATGAAATAGTCAGGGTGCCAGTTTTCCTTCAGCTTAATAACTCCATCCAAAGATGTCTCGGTGTGGATTCAAGTGTGAGAGATGGCTTCCCGGCCTGTCACCTTCGACGTTAAAATTCCTCACGCGTTCTGCTGTTGTGTGTAGAACTTCTGAGACCAGGATCGTGCTATTACTTGATAAGCATCTTGCTGTTACTTGAAAAGTGAAATCTCTACCCCATTCCAAACAGGTTTTTGCAACGGAAAGATGGGATCAGTACGATGATCAAAAGCAATAAGTTAAGTTGCTCACTTTGTAAGCGTGCTACGCGGCAGACTGACACAGATTTTTCTGACTAATCGGGTTTGCAATAGAGCCTTCACTGGCTGCAACCATGGAACCAAATTGTTAACTCTTTCATAGATAGATATGCATATATATGTATAGGTAGGTGCCCGCGTGTACATGTTAAACACATAATACTTATATATAAATCTTAGTCGGGTATTATTGAGGTTCTCCTTGCTTCGTAAAGGAAAGGTGGAAATGCCTCGGGATTGTAACACAAGAGAGCAGTTACTTAAAACCCAGTATGCTGCCCATGCTTTAGGGGCAGACCTCCTGCAGGAAAGCGCTCCAGCATGTTGAACCGACCAGTAGTGATGGCTGACGTAGCTTACAACAGATTCCAGTGCAGTTATAACGGTTGACTTGGGCATTTAAGTAAAGGGGTAGACTGTGGTCCGCGCTGCTAGCTCATTGCAGAGGACAGCGCAGGTTCAGGTGCTGCAGTGGTACAGGCCAGACGTAAGGCGGGCAGAGCTCAGTAGAGCAGATTGGAGATGAGGCACCAGCTTGGAGCAGGCCTTGCAAGGGCAGAGCAGGAGGCAAGAACCACACAAAGGTGAGAAATCGATTTTTTTGCTGCCCAACGCTGGGCCGTGTTTTACAGTCTGCAGCAGCAGCCCGGTGCCTGGAGATCAGCCCCACAGAGCCCCCAGGGGCATTCTCTCCTGTCGTCACTTATCATTTGGGTAGAGTCGAAACGATTCCTACTTTGCTATAGGAAATATCCCCCCTGAAGTGCATGGGAGGCGCTGCTGTCCATGACCCAAGAGGTCACTCCAAGCTCTGAATCGTGGGTTGTAGGCCTTGAGAGCTGAGCTGCTCTGGAGGAGCCAGTCCTAACAGCCCTTCTCTTGGCCCTACAGACATGTCAGGCCTTTGGTGTAATCCAGTAGAAACCGGCATCTGTCGACTGGAGTTAGGGATTTATGCACTGTTACTCCTAACTCATTGTAATAGTAGAATAATACGAGGCTAGAGGGGAGTGACTCTTTGGAAAGCACATCTAGAATTTGAT